AAAGAGTGCCCCAAATTACACAAGAGGTACACTTAAAATGTGTTACAGATCCAGAGTGGTCATTTTCTCCCAAAGACTTCACTTTTCAGTTTATCCTAAAGTCATCGGGGTCAGACTTAACGTAAGCTAAACCAAACATTGATTGCTGGAAGCTTTGGGGTGAACAACATCAGACTAGGTTTGACAAACTGCTGATTTTTTTCCGCTATATGATCAGATAAAACCGAAAATAAATGCTATATAAGCATTTTGTAAAATACAAGCCAACAATAAAATTGTATTTATGTTGCTTACTGTAATTTCCTCTACAAAATATTCATCACAGGGATTTATGTGATAAATGTAGCATCACATTCCCTCTTAGTCCATGATGCAATTATCTGCGCTAAACCCAGTGAGGTAGGACACACTGCTAGCTGCACTTCAACAAGTGTGGGAGAATAAAAACAAGGGGGTGGGAAGTATTTTTATTTGTAAAAAAATGCATTCTGTCACACAGCAGAGCAGCAAACACCACACCAGCAGACACTAATACAGCCACTTTCCCTGCCTCTCTTTTCACCTGGTCCCTCAGTAAATACACAGCTGCAAACACCCGAGAGACAAACAAAGTGTGCCTTCACCTACCCATGACAAAGCAGGACTTTTTTTAAGTCTTCCAGATTACTGCCTTCAGAAGGTCTGGCTTTGTCCTCTGTTTCAGAAGGACATTGATTTTTCACTAATGCAGTTGTAGTAGCCGGGCAGGTAACAGGGAGCCAGGGAACAAGTTCATCGGGCAGATGACTCTGCAGACAGAGCAAAGGCTCGCTCCAGACAGGATCAGCATGAATTTGGCACTATGGTATTAGCTGCAAAATCCTACACTATTAAACCAGGTGAGGCAGGGGGATTAATTTCCAACTTCTTCTACTGATTCTTTCTATAGCAGCTTATTTCTGCTTTGCAGAAGATCCAGGAATTTAGACTAATGCAACTAATTTTTTAGGAAACAGACTGCTCATGCATCTGTTTTCCTTATTGCCCGAGTTTCTTTTTTATAACACAGAAGATGAACCCACAACTGCTAAAACTCAATGATAACAGACCTCATCTTAGTGATAGAAAACTTGATTAATTAAATGGCCCTTGGGATATCTTATTTTAACACTGGAAGTGTGAAAGTTAATTGCTAAAAAAAAAAAAGCTGAAGTAAACATCACATGACATGGAAGTAGCTCCACTGCCTTTTGCCCACAGTGAACTGGGAAAGAGATGAAATTTGGAAAAAGTTAAAATCTGGAAAAGCTAAATTTATCCATGGAAATATTCCTCAAATAATTTTTAAAAGCATCTATCAAAGATATGACAGCACAGCTCCAAACTCACATAAAGGAGTTAATATCTGGCAATCCAGTGCACACCATTTTTACAAAGCTCCAGCAGAGCTCTGTACCAACAGGTAAGACTTGTAAACTTACCCACAGGTAAACCACGGACAAGTCCTTACGCTCCATCTTACCTCTAAATGCACATCCTGCTTGTTCTGTATGTGGCTGCCACAATAATGCTTTTACTCCTTGTAGTAGGTACCAAAACTGAGCACTTTTCTCATCAGTTTGTAGTCTAAAGGTGAACTTCTCTCACACACAGCCAGCCCTAGCTCCAGCCCCCCTCAGCATGCACCACACCCCAGCTTTCTACCTCCAAACCATCTAATTCTCAAGCTTTGACAGCTGTGCTTAGTTATACCACAGTCTTCTACAGGTGACACTGACCTCACTGTTGGCAATATACAGAGCTCACCAATACCACCATTACCTGCAGACTGTCATTTGGCATTCAATTTACATGTTACCTTAGCAGAAGTGCCTCCTTTCCTCTGGATTTATGGTTCAGTGCTACAGGAACCTCCCATTACTCCCCTTCTAGAAAGGGCACAAGGGCAAATGGGCTCTGTTCTGCCTTTTCTTGGGCTCTGCACCCACGCACAGACCCTCACCTTGCCTTTTGCAGCAGCTGGGAGGGAGCTCCCGGCAGCCCAGCTCCAACTCCGTCCCGGCTGTGTCAGGCAGTGCCCCCGCCCCGCAGGACTAAACCCACGGCACGCGGTTGCGTTTCTGACACTGGCGGGGGG